CAGGTGAGGCACTGTTTCGATCCTCAGCACCATAGAAAAATAAAGGCATTGGGTCCAACTACAACTAAAAAAAAAAAAAAAAAGAAAAAGATGCTGTGTTTCAGCTGAACTCTGAAATTTGGAGGATAACAAGGATAGGAGAAATGGAATCAAGATTAATGCCTTTATTTTTTTTTCCCCCCCAAAGGACTGACTCATCTTCTGCATCTTTTCCATTGCTGTTTTTCCTTTATCTTGTTTACTTTCCAGAATGAGTGGATTTATGATGAGTTATTTTCTTGAGTATTCACTGACTATTCTGTTAAGCTTGGTGGGAGGGAATGCAGAAATATAAGCGTATGGTACTTTGTTTTATCTTTCACAGATAGCTCCTATCTAGTAAATATATGGAGGGTATAGCATAAAGTTTTATGGGCTGGAGTAGTTGGAGAAGACTGTGCAGGGTTTGGTGGTTGAGCTATGTTGTGAAAAAGCATTAGTTTGGGGATGGGTGAAAGAAAACATAGCTATAGGCACAGAATTTGAAGTGTCATGTGTGAGACTCAGTTCATTGTAGAGATTTATTGAGCACCTGCTATATATGGGGAATGTGGCTACAGAGATGAGTACATTCCCTACCCTCTAGAAGTTCATAAAATAGTGGGGGAGGCATTTAACTGTAACGTGGGATGATTAATTGCATAGTGGATGATATTGTTTTAAACCTGATCATTTGCATTTGAAATGTATAATACAATTTTTAGTTGTTTCAGTAGGAGACATGTAATTATGGAGTAAATTTTAGAAGGGACTTAGAGACATACATATATACATTTTTTTCATATGCTTTGTTTATTTTTGTATAACAGATTACTCTAAAATTTAGCAATTTAACAAGCATTTACTATTTCATAATTTCTGTGAGCCGGGAATCTGGGCACAGCTTAGCTGGGTGCCTGTGGCTCAGAATCTCTCACTAGGTTTCCATCAAGGTGTTGGCCAGACTATAGGCAGCTCAATGTTTGAAGTAAGATCCACTTCCAAACTTATTCATGACTCTTAGCAGGCTTCAGGTCCTGTTGGCCACATACATAAGTTCCTTGTCACATTGGCTTCTAAATAGGGCCACTCATAACACAATAGTGTGCTTGCCTCAGGAAGAGGGATTTGAGAAACAGTAAGTAAAATAAAAATAAAAGCCACGCCCTTTGTATAATCTTAATTTTCAAAGTGAAATCCCATCACTTTTGTTGTATTTCTGTTAGAACCTAGTCACTAAATGCAGCCCATACTCAAGAAGCAGGAATAACTGGGGTCTGTGTGAGAAGCTGCCTACCCCAAAGTTCTACAGGGTTTTGATGTGTATTAAGAACCCGAATTTTAACACGAACTAGGTAAGGAACTTTTCTGATGGGAAAAAAAAAAACGTGTAATTCTCAGGAACCCAATGTTTTTGTTAGGTCTGTAAGATTAGTTTCAGTGTTGCATTAATGTTTAGGATAGGGTAGGAAAGGGTTTATAAATGAGAAAGAAGCTGATTGTGGCAAAGCAGGGATGAATTTTAAATTTTATAAAAAATGAAATAGTTTAAAGTGGATTACAAGATCTGAATTTTTTTTTTTCTTTTTTTTTTTTTTGGTACCAGGGATTGAACCCAGAGGTACTTTACCACTAAGCCACATCTCCAGCCCTTTTTATTTTTTATTTTCAGACAGGGTCTGGATAAATTGCTTAGGACCTGGCTAATTTGCTGAGGCTGGCTTTGAGTTTGCATACCTCCTACCTCAGCCCTCCGAGCTGCTGGGATTACAGGCTTGTTCCACCATGCCCTGCAAAGTGATCTTTTAAAGAAAATCTGGAGATTTTTTATTTCATTCTATTTTTGGTTGCTATAGGTAAATTTACATTTACAATGTTGAAAAGTTAAATAATGATAGAATGAAAGGAGCACAGGATTTTGAAAACTTAGTTTTGTGTCCTGCATTCACAGCCAATTATAAGCGTGACCTTGGGCAGTCCTGGTGGTGTGTGTGTGGATTCTTTAACATGAAGATGACGGATATGTGAACTTTTACTAAAGTTAATTTTCTGTGTCTAAATGATGATGATAACTAATATTTATTCTGTGTGCTCCATATACCAAACAGTGTACCAATTTCATACATTATCTCATTTAATCCTCATGGGAAATTTGAAATAAGTGCCATTATTTTGTTAGTTTACCAGTGGGGAAAGTAGGGCTCAGAGAGGTTATTTACCTAAAGCAGGGCTACATAAGAACAAATGGGTTCATAGCCCTTTGCAGTCTTATTTTACTTATAGCTGCTATCTCTGAAAACCAGAAGTAAAATAAATGTTTTTCTTACTTGGTGCAGACTCAAATTTTATTCTGTTATTGAAGGCATTCATTTAAGGATAGTGGGATGTACAGAATTGATCAGGGTACCCTTTCTTACCAAAGCACATGAGTAGCATACTTGCAAAAGATCATTGCCAGACTGGATAACCTTCCACGTGTATGTATGCATGTGTGACATGACATATAAAATAACACATAACATCCTCTGCATTAAAATATATTGGATGCTTCTCCATAATTGGAAATAATCCTTGATTCCTAATTTGCCCACATTTCAATCCATCCGCAAGTCATAAAGGTTTTTTCTTCATTAGGGCTGGGGATATAGCTTAGTTTAGAGTGCTTGGCTTGCATGCACAAGGCACTGGGTTCAATCCCCAGCACCACACACACACACACACAGGACATTTCTAATTCATCTGTTTGAACTTCCACTGTTGGAAGCACTGGGGTGTATCACTGGTCATTACACCTGGGCTGTTGCAGTGCCTCCTTATTGATTTCAACCTTTACTGTTGCCTACCTGTGATCTACTCAACAGCAATTGATGAAATTTCTTACTTTCCTGCCTACAACTGTTTACCTATGTTTTATTGCAATTCAGAGAACTTTGACCCTCTACTTTTCTAGCCTTGCTTACTGTGCTTCAAACACTGGATTTCTTTGTATTTCATACTTATCAAGTTCGTTTCAATCTCAGGTCTTTGTTCCTGCTGTTTTTCTACCTATCTGCTTTGGTCATTGATATTATTTAGGTCTCAGTTCACATGTCACTATCTGAGTGTAAAACTCAGATACTCCCCATCCCTAAACTCTCATATTATCTCATATTATCATGTTTTACTTTGTTTTTAGTTCTTATCACTGTTAGTTTATTGCTTGCTTCTTTAGTGTCTTTTTCCCCCTTACACCAGAATGTGGACTTCTTAAGAGCAAAGCCTCCCTTGTGCCTAAAAAATATGTCTGATACATAATAGGAGCTCAATAAATGTTTGTTGGATGAGTGAAAATTTCATTTAACTTTTTTTTTTGGGGGGGGGAGGCACTGGAGATTGAACTCAGGGGTACTCGATCACTGAGCCACATCCCCAGCCCTGTTTGTATATTATTTAGAGACAGGGTCTCATGAGTTACTTTGCACCTTGCTTTTTGCTGAGGCTGGCTTTGAACTTGCAGTAGCCTTCCACACTGCTGGGATTCAGGCCTGTGCTACTGTGCCCAACTCATCTTAACATCACATTATTATTTTCCACAGCCTGAAATATTGAGGATACTGGTTATAAACTGTTAATCCTCAGTCCAGATCTGGCCTGAGAACACATTTTATTTGGCTTGTTACACATGGCCATTGTTATTTGAGTTTCAATTTACAGTCCAGGGCCACAGATCTTAAGTGTACAACTTGATGAAATGTACTTATATGTATGCCCATGTGACCAATTCTCAGACCAAGATACAGAGCATTTTTGGTACCCCAGAAGGTTCTCATATACCCTTCTACCCACTCCCCCACTTCTGACAATATAACTTGCATAGAGCTAAGAACTTTTAATTGGCTTCTACCATTTAAAAATAGGGAGACTTCACATAAAAATTTAGATTTCCAACATCTCTAAAAACTCAAAGTTCTATCAACATAGAACCTGCTTTCTCTTTTGACAAGTTACTTTAGTGGAGAAGCAGCTGTCCAAAGTGTTGGCACATGTTCTTCAGCTTGCCTGCAGACTCCACCCCTCCTCCTTCTGTCCCTGACCTTGAAATCAATTGCCAGTTGCCATTTATAATTTTACTTGAATTGTTTTTCTTGTGATGGAGAAATATCTTTTCCATTATCTCTAAAGAAGAGGAAACATGAGTGGTAGATGGAAAAGGTTACATGTCTTATTTAGTTTACTTTTTTAGTTCATTTGTATTCTGGCCTTTAGATATTTGTTAGCGACCCTAGTTCTGTTTCAAGGCTATTCAGTGTTCTGTGTATAAATGTCTCATTTATCCAGTCCTCTATTGTGGAACATAATTGTTTCTTTTTCCTATTGTAATGAACAACCTGTATATGAATCTTTGTATACATTACCTTATTAAAATAAAATTTTAGAAGTGAACTTTCTAGATGAAGACATTTTTTACTTTTAATTTTGATACATGATTGCCAGATGGCTTGATAGTAGTTTAAATTGATGTTATTTGAATAGCATCAAGCCCTACACTGGCCAACACTGGCAATTAGAATTTGAAAGAAAAGTTTGGGAAAACAAAATGGGGAATGATGGCCAAGAAGGTTTTCATCTTTTTATCTATGTAAATAAGAGTTATGCTTTGTTTTAAAGGATATTGTATAAAAATGTTACTTAGTTCAATGCCTTACCTTAGATTTATATTGTGAGTCATATCAGGTACCATGTAGCTTATATGTGAAGTAACACAAATACCCCCATGAGAACTAGAGAACCTTTAGCCTTGATCCTTATATATTTGTACATATATGTAACATCTTTTTATATAATTTTTAAACTTTACTAATGTTCTGTATCCACATGGGTGGGAATAAATGTTGCAAATCCTTCTGGTTTTGAAGCACATGCAACTAATTGTTACATAATGGTTTTATACTGGTTTTCATATTTTAAATTAGAGGCCATTATTCTGTCATTTGCTTCTTAAGGAGATGCCTACTTAGAAGAGTGACAGCAGCTGGTCTACATGTTTCAGTGCTAAACTGGTTCCTCAGGTATCCTGGCTCTGGAAATTGCTATGGGAGATTGGATGACTATTACAGATCCAGGTCTGTCTGCAGGTAACTGAATCTAAAGTAAAGGGAAACCAAAGCAGTTTAACTGAATCTAAAATAACTAGCAATCAAAGCAATAATTGTCAAGGTGAATGTTTTCAACAAAAATATTAAAAAGTTACGAAAATATTGAAGATGTGACTAGAGAGAGAGATAAATAGTTACAAGTGTCCAATTTTCATCTTCAGTAAAGTTATTAGAGAGAGCTAAGAAGGTGCTATAATCAGTGAGTTCAGTGCTTTAGATAGCTTACTGGATACATAATATTTTTGAGTAAAATTTTTATGCATTTGAAATATATTTAGTGGCTACTTCAGTGTTTCCCAGGTTTGTTCCTTTGTCACGTAAGCATTGAGTGAAATAGACAAGTGTGTTTTGTCTATAATTTTTTATAAGTCTAAAGAAGTAGAAGTTAAGGTGTATTGTCACTTAACATGCCTACCAAGAATACTACTATAATTTTATGTTTTTGGGGAAAAAGAAAAAACATAGGTATCAGATAAAAATGGCTTCATCCCAATTTAAAAATTCTTAAATATGTGTGTATATGTGTAAAGTTTAAAATCTTTGGTAAGTTAGTTTTACAAACATTTTTTTAATTAGTTATGCAAATGCTATTTATTGATTCTTTTCAGAAAGTAAAAATCTCTCTCAATATACCTCAGAAACAAAGATGTCTCCATCAAGTCTATATTCACAGCAAGTGCTATGTTCTTCAATACCTTTATCAAAAAATGTGCACAGCTTTTTCAGTGCCTTCTGCACAGAAGAGAATATTGAACAAAGTATTTCATATCTTGATCAGGTAACATGTTTTCATAAATAGCATAAATCATTATTCAATAGAACATACATAGAAGGTTATAAAAACATTTGTCGAGCACAAGTACATTGTTATGCAGTGGCCAGAGACTTAGATTAGATTTACTGACAACCTTGGTAATGATCTAGTCTCATATAAGATTAGCTATTGTATTTGGAGCAGTTTGGCCTCACCATCATCCCGGGCTTCTCCATTGAATTTAACCTCATTTTGTTGGTGCAGAAAACTAAGTACCTTACTCCAGGTCACAGGGGTTATAGAGCAGAGTCTAGGAAAAAAAAAAAACACACACACACACACAAAAAAAACAGTTCTTTTAATTTTTTTGTTCTTTGGGAAATTTACTAGTTTCTCAATGAACTCAGTATAGTTCTCTGACTTAGAAAATATTTCTGTTTCTTTTTAGAAAATATTGTTTCTTTTGCTCTCTGGTAATCAACTTTTAAAAAATTAACTTTTAAATTTTTAATTGGCAAGTAAAAATTGTATATATTTCTTATATACAACACAATGTTTTAACATATATGTACATTGTAGAGTGGCTCAGATGAGCTAATTAACATGCTTCATACTTTCTGTGGTAAGAACATTTAAAATCTACTCAGCATTTTCAAGAATACAATACATTGTTATTAATGATAGTCAACATGTTGTACAGTAGATTTCTTGAACTTATTCTTTATATCTAACTGAAATTTTGTATCTTTTTGACCAATATCTCCCTAAGGATAACCAACTTTTAAAAAAACATTTTTCTCCTACCAGGAATTGACCACTTTTGGTTTTCCTTCATTATATGAAGAATCCAAAAGTAAAGACACAAAAAGAGAATTAAATATAGTTGCTGTTTTGAATTGTATGAATGAGCTACTTGTACTTCAGCGGAAAAACCTTCTAGCTCAGGAAAATGTGGAAACAAAAAATCTGAAACTGGGAAGTGATATGGACCATCTGCAGAACTGCTATGCAAAACTTAAGGTAGAAAACATATATCATTCTGTATTTTAGTATCATTATTATATAAATAATTATTATAAATGTCCATTGACTATCAAATGTTAAGGTTGTTTTTAAAAGCTTTAGTTTTTTTTGAAACTTTGAGCTTAATTTGCACAAATCAGTTATACTGCTTCCTATTATCTATATTGAAGGCATTGATTTTATGACTACTCTAATGACTTATTAATCTTTAGAAATTTAACTTAGAAAATGTTTATATTCTGAGGAAAAGGATTACACCACCCCATGTAATCTTCCTTAACAAAGTAGATTGTTTAATTTAAAATTCTTTGTAAGAGCTTTATTAGTTCATTCTAAGAAAAATATTCTTGATGTGTTTATGTCAAACGTTCTAAAGCTCAATAATGAAAATAGACCAGATAATATCTAACAAAAGTCCTGGGGCTTAGAAAAAGACCATATAGAAAGATGGTTTATTAAATTTTTCTCCGAGAAAATGAAATTATTTTCACAAGGCCATTGGCCTGCTGCCTTAAAATGTTAGAACATTTGTTACTGGTTCCTGGTTTGCTTTAATATTCTTTCATGTCCACCCCCCCCACCCCCACCCCCTTCCAGGGATTGAACCCCCAGGCTGCTTATCACTGAGCTACATCCCAGTAGCTTATGCTGCTCCCTCCACTGCCCCACACTTTTTAAAAACTTGTTTTGAACTTTTTATTCTGAGACAGAGTCTTGCTAAGTTGCTTAGGGCCTTGTTAACTTGCCTAGGCTTGCTCTAAACTTGTGATCCTCCTGCCTCACCCTCTCAAGCTACTGGGATTATGGGCATGTGCCACCATACCTGGCTTATATTTAAAAATATTGGCAGAGAGGAATAAGGTGTTCAAAATATGGTGAGGACTTATGTATGTTGTTGAGGATATAATGTACTGGGATCCAAGTCTAATTTTTTCCTAAATATACTATTGTATATTGGATTTCTTTGTTCTTGGAAAAGGCATTCCAGGAAGAGCATGTAACTTGCATGAAAAGCACGGTAGCTTGAGAGTGCATTTCACTTTCAAGTAACCAGAGAGCCCTGCAGGGGCTGGAGTGTGTAAAATATGGATGAAGAATGGTGAGAGGTGAGGCTTTTAACCCCGGTTCCAAATGGTTTGAAAGGATATGGTTCAGAAACTGGGAGGCGCTGAAGAGTTGTAAACAAGTTGTAAACAGAGGGAAGATATTGTGTAAATGTCATTCTAGTGGAAAGGTGGAGAAATGATTGGGAGAGTGCACATTTGTATTCAGGATGGAGGTGTACGGGGCTCAGAAAACATCACGATGGGGGTGCCTGTTAGCATGTCTTTGCAGAGGTTTTGGACTTGAACTAAAGTAACACCAGGGATGGTATTCCCACCCTTCTTTTGGCTTAGCTGTAGTTCACTTGTCTCTTTCTCAAAGCCAAAAATTTGTTCTCAAAGGAAAGGTGATGATGATATTATAGATGAGGATATCTTCCAAAGTGTTCAGCAGAAGTATTAAAAACAAGGCAGATTTGGTGTCAAGTGCCTGAAATCCCAGCAACTCAGGAGGCTGAGGCAGGAGGATCACGAGTTCAAAGCCAGCCCTAGTAATTTAGCAAGGCCCCAAGCAACTTAATGAGACCCTGTCTCAAAATAAAAAATAAAAACGGCTGGATGTGGCTCAGTGATTAAGTACCCCTGGGTTCAATCGCTGGTACCAAAAAGTAAAAAATAAAAAGTATTAGAAATAAAAAGTCTGAAGAAATTTTAAATGGGTTCAGTGGCATCATCATGGAATAAGTGAAAAGTCTTTCAAGAGAACCATTTTGAAGCTCCTTTTGTACATACACACAAAATTTGGAACTTAAATGAAATAGAATTTGATATGTAAATTTAGATAAATGCTGCATAGTAATTGCTCTAAATAAACATTTTGTGTGCCACTATACTTTAGCTTACAAAACTAGTCTGTATGACTTTTTTGTTATTGACTTAAGAATTCAGTTGTTTTGAATTTATATAATTTTGGTCAAAATGGCATACAAATATTCTAGGAACAACTGGAAACCTCCAGGAGGGAAATGATTGGGCTTCAGGAGAGAGACAGACAATTGCAATGCAAAAACAGGAATTTGCATCAGCTCCTGAAAAATGAAAAAGATGAGGTAAGTTATCAAGTTATTGCATATGAAGTTTTTTTTTTTTTATTTTTTGAAATTTGAGGTGAAACCATAAGAGCCATGTAACTTTTAAAAAACCTATTATTTATGTCAAATTGCTGTAGTGGACCTTTGTGTATAAAATCATATTTAACTAAGAGGTTTGGAACTCTCCCTACTACACACTCTGCCTTCCACTCCCAGGGGATCGATTTGGCTTAGGTTCATAGCAGATAACAACAGTGTCCTGTACCATCCTTCCTGCACACAGATTCACTCACTTTTTCACAGGCACAAGGTGCTTTAAATGCAGGTTTTTTGTGCTCTGCTATATCTGCACTTGATGTCTGACTTGCCCCTTTTTGTACTATCTGAAATGTTGACGTTATTGGTCCAGTTAAGCAATTACTTGGCTCAGTGGGCACAGGAGCAATTCTCATTAAAAATCTTATTTCTGAGGTGAAAGATATAATAATTCTAATTTTTGCTTTAGGTTTACTTAGTAGAATTCTAATTTCTAATCCAGTGGGTTCTTAGAATTATGACATCTTCTGACAAATTTCTAATTTCTTCAGTGGTTAGTTGGACTTACAAAATTAATGGATTTGTTTTGTAATGTATCTATACTTGGTACCTATACTATTATGTTTTTATTGTTTACTTTATTATTTATTTTTATTCCATGTAATAGCTATAAAAATACACTTTCAGTGTTTTATGAAAGACTCTTAAGGGAGTGTAAGTCTTTAAAACCCTTTGATTTGGATAATTTTATCATTCATTTTTAGTAGTATATTTAATATTTAGTGGTATATTTAATAAACTTTTCTGTGAAAAGTTTGACCAGATCTGTTGATTTAAATGGTTTGAAAACAGTTCATCTTTGGTAAGGAATAAGTTAATCATATTATTCTCTAGCAAGGATTGAGAATGTCTTTGTAGAATAAAGCACTTATGTCAAGTACTGCCTGAGAAGCTTTGGTAGATACCTATTTTGACACATAATAGATGATCATCAAATGTTGATCAGAGAGAAGTGGGCCTAGTTACCTACTACATGTCCACTAGCTAATGTACCTCATGATCACTTGGTGTACTCCGCCTATCCGGACCTAATGTTCGAAATAAAGTGATTGCAAGTCAATAGGAGAAGGAGGTCATTTTTTAAGATGACTATCTGGATCCTAATTGTTTCAGACAAAGCCCTTAATATTTTAATACTTCCATAAGATTTTCTGGTTTCTAAGTTACTAAGAATATTTGTATAGTAAAAAGATATAGAATATAATTTAGAAAGTTAATATTCTGAAAATTTTAAAATTAAGAAATATAAACTTCGTGACTCATTTAAGTGATTTGTAATCATTAAAAAGAAGGGAGAATTATCTCAATTTAAGTACTATGGGAAGATGACTGCTAATACTTTTCTCTTTTGAATTTGTGAATTTTAACTGGATTTATCATTTCTCATTTGATGGAAATGCTTTTTTCAGGTACAAAAATTACAAAATATCATTGCAAGCCGAGCTACTCAGTATAATCATGATATGAAGAGAAAAGAACGTGAATATAATAAGCTAAAGGAACGTCTGCATCAACTTGTTATGAACAAGAAGGATAAAAAAATAAGTAAGCAGCTGGCTAAGATCTGGCCAAGGGAATTAAAATTATAAAAGGATTGAGGACGACAGCTCAAGATGTGTTATTTTCATGCTTTATACAGTAGATTTTAGATTGATTTTAGTTTTAGTATGTCTGTATAAACTGGAAATTTAGAGAACTGATTAGTGGAAAAAAGTCATTTTGGTTTGATTTATTAATTGTATATATCTGTTTAACATAACAGGTGTAGTATTGGGCCATAGAGAGAAACTGAGCCCAAAGATATTCTTAATTTTTCCATAGCAAAGAACTGAAAATATTAAGAACCAGGGTGTATTTCTGAATGTCAAAAGAATGATTTTAGAGTTCAGAAAATTGTTCATCAGACCAAATCACTTATATCAGTTTGAATTCCTTTAAGTTTGGTTCTATGTTTTGAAGTGATTAGTCATAAAGAAGTACTGTAAAAGTTAGTGTCTGAGGTCTCCTTTTTAAAAGTATTCTTCTGAAAACTACAACAATTCATGCAAAAGTATATGCCTGATTGCAAGTCAATAGTATAGATAAAAAGTCAATCAGACACGAAAGTAGAGCTGTACAATACAATTTTACTGGCATATCAAAGATTTAATTTTGGAAAACTGGCCCTTATATTTAGGGGTCTAGTTGTTTTCAGTTTCAAACCCAGTTGGAAATGACATAATCATAGTGATTTTATTAACTATAAAATTGCAGTAATTTATTCTCATCTTATTTCATTCTTATAGCAAATGTGTCCTCCATCTAGGGCAGAAGAGTTGTTGCTATTGTCAGGATTCTTGACTTCTTTGAAGATGACAGTGGTGATGATAATGATGACGATAATTGGGCATGACAGACTTTTTCTATAGAAATCCAAATAGTAAATATTTTTTGGCTTTGTGGGGTCTACAGGTGTTTTTTGTACCTACTACTCCTCTGCCATTGTAAAGAAAAAGTATCCATAGAAGATATGTAAACAAATGGATGTGGCTGTGTTTCAGGGAAGCTTTATTTATAAAATTAGGTGGCTGGCCTTCAGGCCATAGTTTGCCAACTGTCGATAATGAAATTAGTAATGAAAAAATCAGAACTATTAAATGCTTAACTGTGTGCCAGACTCTATGTTCACCTCTACCTTTAGCATTATTTCTTATGATCTTAAAAACTCTTTGGTAAATAATTTCATTATTCCTATTGTGTCAGTGAAGAAAGTGGCTTAGTAGTTAAGATCTCAGTGCTCACCAGCAGAGGAACTAAAAATTTGAAATTAGGCTGTTGAGCCCAAATCTGAACCCATATATCAAGTTGACTCATATCCCTAGTGTGTATAGGATGCATTAAAGTTTTGAATAACGTATGATAAGAATTGGTTTTGTTTTGTGTGTTCATGTTTGTAGCCATGGACGTTTTAAATTATGTGGGGAGAGCTGATGGAAAAAGAGGCTCCTGGAGGACTGGTAAAACAGAAGCCAGGTAAAGGCCAGTTTAGATCTATAGACTTAGACTTTGTTTTCTCCACTGCATTTTCATAACAGTGTTTTCTTTCTCAGGAATGAAGATGAAATGTACAAAATTCTCTTGAATGATTATGAATATCGTCAGAAACAAATCCTAATGGAAAATGCTGAACTTAAGAAGGTTCTTCAGCAAATGAAAAAGGAAATGATTTCTCTTCTTTCTCCCCAAAAGAAGAAACCTAGAGAAAGAGCAGATGATAGTACAGGAACTGTAAGTGGCCTTTTTCTCTCTAATATGCTCTTTAGATTGCAAAGTAGGTGTTTTAGTCAGTTTTTTTCACTGCTATGACTAAAGATCTGACCAGAACAATGTTAGGGAAGAAATTTGAGGGCTCCCGGTTTCAGAGTTCTTAGTCCATAGAAGGCCACCTCCATTCCTCATGGCTCAAGGTAAAGCAGAACTTAATGGTGGTAGAGAGTGGCAGAGGGAAGCAGCTCACATGGTTATCAGAAGCAGAGAGTGAGTCTCCACTTGCCAGATACAAAAATATAACCCATAGTCACACCCCAATTCCCACCTCCTCTAGCCATACCCTATCACTTCAGTTACCACTCAGTTAATCCCTGAGATTAATTCACTGATTGGGTTAAAACTGTGACAACCTAATCAATTTCTCTGAACCTTCTTGCATTGTCTCACACGTGAGCTTTTGGGGGATACCTCACATCCAAACCATAACAGTAGGGCAGTTCAAACATTGGGTAGGTATGCCTAGTGAATACACTATTGGTATTTTGAACAGGACAGTCACTGCTGTGCTACCTGCAGTCACTGTGACAACCAGTGTCCCTGCATGTTTCTAGACATGCCCTGGGAAATAGTGGAGATAATCTTTTGGTGACTTAGTCCATGCTAAGCACTATGATATGTACTATATATATGAGAATATTAATATTAAGCTTTGATTATTTAGGTACTATAATTATCCCCATTTTAGAGGTGAAGAAACTGAGCCACCGTAGTAGCCCAGTATAATACATGACAAAACTAGGATTTGAATCAAAGTCTATTTCTAGAGCTCGTGCTGTAACCGTTGTGCAAATATCTTCTTTTTTTAATATTTATTTTTTAGTTATAGGTGGACATAATATCTTTATTTTATATTTATGTGGTGCTGAGGATGGACCCAGTGCCTCATGCATGCTAGGTGAGTGCTCTACCTCTGAGCCACAGCCACAACCCCCCAAATATCTTTTCAACTATTTCTAAGTGTCATGTGATGTACTTTTGTTAACTTTGGGAAACAAATAATCATTTCATCTATGTATTTATTGCTTGTTCATTATGTTGTAGTTTCTGGAAAGAAAAAGCAAAAAGATACTGACTCTTCCCCTCAAGAAGCTCTTTTTGGTGGGGCTGGGATTGTGGCTTAGCGGTCTAGCATGTGCAAGGGCCTGGGTTTGATCCTCAGCACCACATAAACATAAAATACAGATATTGTGTCCAACTATAACTAAAAAATAAATAATTTTTTTTTTTTTTTTTTTTTTTTTAAAAAGCTCTTTTTGGGAGAGACATGTGGAGAAGTGGTCATTGTACATGTTAAGTAATCTGATAGTAATCTTAATTCACATTAGTGATTAAAATCTAAAAATAACACTGTTGATGAAAAATGCTAATTTCTTAGCAAGTCACCAGAACTTGTATTTTAAACCCATATTTGAGACTTATTTATTTGGGGGTTTAACAAATAAGTCTAATAAGCTCATCCTGCCTCCTATTTTTCTTTAAAATTTGTTTTTAAATGTTACTTGAATGCATAGTCCCCCAACCCCATTTATCCATAGGAATACATTCCAAGACCCCCAGTGAATGCCTGAAACCACAGATCATACTGAACCCTGTATATCCTGTTTTCCTATTAAACTTTCTCATGTTTTTTCCTATACATATACTATATCAGTCAACTTTTCATCACTGTGATCTGAATCCCCAACAAGAACAATTTAAGAGGAGGGAGAATTTATTTTGGCTCACAGTACCACAGGCTTAGTCAATGATCAGCTGAGTTCATTGCTTTGGGCCCACGATGAGGCAGCACATCATGACATAAGGACATGATAGACACAAGCTGCTTCATTCATGGAAGCCAGGAAGCTGAGAGAGAAAGAAAGGAGGAAGGGACTGTGGGAAAGATGCATCCTTTCAGGGCATGTACCCAATGACCCACCTCCTCCAGCTATGTCCCACTGGCCTACAGTTACCACCCAGTTAGTCCATTGAAACTAGGAAGGTTACAGCTCTCCTAATCTAATTTTACTTATGAATATTCCTGCATAACACAGGAGCTTTTGGGGGACACCTCATATCCAAACCATAACATATACCTCTGAGAAGGTTTAATTTATAAATTAGGCACAATAAGAGATTAATAATTAGTAGCTAATAATAAAATAGTTAATATTTTGTCTTTATAAAAGTTATATGTGATTTCTCCCTTCCCCTGAAAATACCTTACTGCTCTATATGTATTTTAGGATTTTAGTTGACTAAGATAACTGAACACAACTGAAACTGAGAATACAAACTGTATTCTTTTATACGCTCAGTTTTTGACCCATCCTTGACCTCTTTTAGCCCAGTGCTGTTGTATCTGCTGTGGGAACAGTCTAATCAACTGTTAACCTTTTCTCACAAAGCCTTCATTTCTAGTCAGTTGTTAACTTTCACTGATACCTCTTCAGACTTAGCATGGTTTCCATTACTTAGTCTTTCTCAGTTTTTGACCCATCCTTTAATAATCTTTCATTATCACCTTTATTCAGAAAAAGTGAGTAATAAATCAAGGAGATCTTTCTCAGATGCCTTTCCTCCCATGAGTTAGCCAGTGTGTAATTCTTCATAATTCCAATGTATTAAGTTTGGGGAAATACCTGTTAAGTATATTTGCTGTTTTTAGAAGATCCATTTTTCTAGCTTCCTTTAATCTTAAAATTTAAGTAATCAACCATTCCCTTCTTTAAAGGAAAGATTTTGGAGCATTTTAGCAAGATGTAACCTTGGAATGCCTAAGTAACATCCATATTTCATTTATTATTTAGCTGGCTTGCTAAATGAAATACCTATTACATTGGCTATTTGATACCTAAAATTCAAGTTAGGTAAATTTTTAATTTTCATCTTGTTATACTGTTTGGGAAACACCCAGTAAGAAATCTTACTAGTTTTTTTAAACAACTAATTTGTAGTATAGGTCTGAAATCTGAAACTTTTGAGTACCAACATGATACTACAAGTAGGAAATGCCACAGATAACCTCCTGTGGTAGGTTGCAGTCAAAACAAAAGCTTACTAAAATATATATAAATTACTTTCAGCCTGTGTGTATACGGTATATATGAAATATAAATGAATTTTGGGTTTAGATTTAAGTCCCATCCCTGAGATTATGTATACGTATATATTGCAAATATTGCAAAATCCAAAAACATCTGAAACACTTCTAGTCCCAAGCATTATAGAAAAGGGATATTCAATCTGTATTCTGATAGACTTGTACATAATGGACAGAAGAAAAGATGTGACTCCTTGGAAGTTACTGACAAGTAACTCCTGAAGATAAATTGTCAACAATCAGAATCACAAGAGCCACATCCTGGGCCTTTCCTGTACATGTTCTGCCTTGGGGACCTTGACCTCTTTTAGCCCAGTGCTGTTGTATCTGCTGTGGGAACAGTCTAATCAACTCTTTCTTTCCATCTTGTATCTTACTTTTTTCTCTTTTTATTGTTCAAATTAATAAAGTATATCTACCTTCCTGGATGATAATAACAAATTAGAACTATTTTATGTAGATGGCAGGTCATTATGACATTTGCCTTTTAATATTATTTTCCCATGTCCTTTGTCCTACTGTAATTCTTTATAATAATTTATCACTAAAATTTGCTACATTCTTCTATAATTTCATGTCTTGGCATAATTAAAAGATCTCTAGTTGTATAAAAATTGTATGAGGAAAGTAGGATTAATAGTTGCTTTTACTTCAGAGGTTATTTCAAAGGTTTATTAGTTTATGATATATATATATATATATATATATATATATATATATATATATATACACACACACACACACATGTATATATATATATGTATATATATATATATATAATGTAATACTTCTCTATGTGAGTTTAGACAGGTAGTGAGCATCTCTTCCTCAAACAGCTCCATGACTTTTGTCACTGCTTAGATTCAAATTCAGATTTAAGGAGATCTAAGTTGGGGAGTTATTATCTTCAACTTTGTTTTTTCTCAAAATAGAAGTACTGGGTCATGTATGCCTAAAATACAACGCAGAAATTATTTAGGTAGGTCTCTTTCTTGTAATCAATCTGATCATTACTGCCTGGTTGTAAAACCATTTTAAAATACTGGTCTTTCTTTTTTCACTGTCATCATTTGTAGGTTATCTCTGATGTTGAAGAAGATGCTGGAGAACTAACCAGAGAGAGTATGTGGGACCTATCTTGTGAAACTGTGAGAGAGCAGCTTACAAACAGCATCAGAAAACAGTGGAGAATTTTGAAAAGTCATGTAGAAAAACTTGATAATCAAGGTAACTACTTCTTTCCTGCATGCAAAATGATTTGTGATAAGCCATTTATTTCCAGTCACTTGGAAAGCCACAGTATGGGCTCTGCCATGAAGCTGGTAGCTCAATTTGGTGGTTTTAAAGCAAGATTTTGCCTACTTTTTGCCATGAAATTTTAACTTCAGTAAGAAAAATAAACTTTGCTCTCAAAGTAAATCTTTGAAAAGAGGATTTCATGTATCCATCTGCTCTGAATGCAGTATACAGTTGAGCAAACTGTTTGTTTTTTTCTATATCTTGAAAATGAAGACATTCATTAATACAGAAAAAGATGAATCTTTTGCTCACTCCAAGATACTTGCATGTCACTAGGTTCTAAATAATTAAAAATTATTTTCAAAATAATAGATGTTCAATGCAAAATATCAATTAAGAAGAATATAAAGTAGAATATCCTGGTTCAGTTCCTTTTATATAATACTTAACAGGTGAATATCTTTGTAGACTTCTGTATGGATTTACAAAATATTTATTTATTTAAAAATATAAAAATAAAATTTCAATATTATATATATTTAATTCAGTGTGCTTCTTTCATTTAACAGTATTATTTTAGACATTATTCCCTGGCTTACACTTAAATCTATGTTGATGAATATATCCCTAATATTTTGTATTTGTTAAATAAAGTCTCCATGGTTTAAAAGAAGTTCATGAAAGAAAATTTATTTTAAATTACCAAAAATTTATTCAACATCATTGTTTTAAGTAGTAAAGAATAATGAGCAAAATTATTAGTCTCAGTATTAATGTACATGTTATTCATGTTAGTCATTGTCTTTTAGTACATAGTAAGTATGTCTGGACTTCCTATTTGTTGAATGTCGTATGAGAGAACAAGATTTGAAGACTGCATTGATCTCTGAAACACTATCAGCCAGAACATAGTTATGAATTTATTATTTTTGTTAACATTCTGTTAATGTAGCTAATTTGTCTATTTCTAATCAGGACATAGTCTTGAATATATATGGATTACAAATTAAAGGTTGACAACAGAGCTTTGCAAAAAGTCATACAAATTTAGAGTTGTTATGAACTTCTAGTTGCTTTGCTTTTAAAAAGCTTTATAATGTTAAAATAACAAATTTAACTTTATTTTGTTTATTAAAAGGAAAGTACTAGCCGGGTGCAGTGGCTCACGCCTGTAATCCTAGCGGCTTGGGAGGCTGAGACAGGAGGATCATGAGTTCAAAGCCAGCCTAAGGAATGTCAAGGCACTAAAGCAACTCAGTGAGACCCTGTCTCTAAATAAAATAAGAGCTGGGGATGTGGCTCAGTGGTCGAGTGCCCCTGAGTTCAATCCTGGTACCAAAAAAAAACCTATCTTTTTTGAAAACTATGAGATTCTACAAAAAGTTCTGAGACCCTTGATTTTTAAATACATGCTCAAAACATCCCAAAACTAATGGTGGTATTAATCTTTGTCATCTTACTGGATTTCTGTTAGTTTCAAAGGTACATTTAGAAGGTTTTAATGATGAAGATGTGATATCACGACAAGACCATGAACAAGAAACTGAGAAACTGGAGTTAGAAATTCAGCAATGTAAAGAAATGATTAAAACACAGCAGCAACTTTTACAGGTAAATGTGAATTACCTTTCAAAGCTGTTCTCCCCTATAAAAGGCCAGAATTTTACAGAATCTTACTAGATTTTATTCCTGTATTTCTTAAGATCTTTATATTTATCACTTTTCCCAGTCTAAACCAAGTTGTCTGCTAACAGGTGATGTCCTGTACCCTTTCTTATATAGTTGAGGTAGTAGTATTTGAGAAAGGAGAATTGTCATGTGACTTTCTGATTCTTCATAAATGTCTGCCCTTTCGCTAAAGTTTAACCTGTCTTCCCTTGCTTTCATTTCAACTCGGAGTGTTGCAGGGATCCCCTGGAACTTACTATGTTTTAAAATTAATAGCAGCAGCTCGCTACTGCATGTGACGATGATACCACTTCACTATTACGAGACTGTTATTTGTTGGAAGAAAAGGAACGCCTCAAAGAAGAATGGTCCCTTTTTAAAGAGCAAAAAAAGAATTTTGAGAAAGAAAGACGAAACTTTACAGAAGCTGCTATTCGCCTGGGATTGGAGGTATTTTAAATAGTTGTGCTTTTGAAAATTCGGGAGGTTGGGGCATAGCCTTCAGTAGAGTGCTTTTAGTTTGCTTTTATTTCTTTCTTATCCAGTTTTTTCTCTAAAGGATTTTATTGGTCATCTCATAAACTGAAGGGAGGCTAAGCATATGAACATTATAGAATGATATCTTTTTTTCCCTTACCAAATTGGGAATTGCAGTTTTTAAAATATAAGCTATAAGCATTTATTTATTCCTTTCAGATTGGCTTTCTTCTGCGAAGAGTTTTAGTTTCATACAACAGTGTCTTAGGCACCTTAGCCTCTATCAGTAGGTATGCCAGAAGACAGTCAAGCAAGAACATGTGCTTTGTTTGGGGGGAAAAAAATACAGTTAAAAACAAAATTCTCCTTCTATCTCCAGTCTCTCATTCAGGGATGTATGCATTAATAATTAATAGTTTAGATTGTTTATTCATGTATAATTCTACAGCTTGCTTTTTAAAGCAATGTATTACCTATATGTTTCCATTCAAAAATTATAGAAGTAATGTCTGAACACAGTTTTTTTAAAAAAAAATATGACTACAAAGTGAGAAAAAATCCTCTTCCTTTATTCCTAGTTTCACTCCTTAGTGGTAACCACTATTAAATGTTTGTGTTGGTAAATTCTTCTGAAAGTATTCTTTTAACTTAAATATATAGTATTTAAATAATTTTTTCTCGATGTTAGTCTATCAATTCTCTGTTGTGTAAGATAAAAGAATATAGTGATCTTATGGTATTTTCCACCTATACTCTTCCTCATTCACATCTGATTTCTTCATAATATTAACTTTTGCTGTTTTGGTTTCCTTTTTTACTATAAATAAATAATATATTTGATGTTTCCATATCACATTTGTTCATCTTCAGACAGTATCAAATCCCTGCAAAGAAAGATGAAGAAATTCTGATAGTTATCCTCTTCCACCTCTCTTTCCCCCTTTACTTGGCTATTTTTGATTATGGTATTATTTTTCATTGTCAGGTGTTAACACATTTGTGTTCCATCCTGTAATATAATCAGGGTAGAAATAAGTACTTTGTCAAAAGTTGAGACTTGAAAATTTAAAACCAGGCAACAACACTGATAGCATCATGATTATATAAATATTGTTCATTCCATAAACTAATATGTTTAGACACATAGAAAATTTTCTGTATTATTAAACTTCGCTACCCATAAGAGCTGTATTACTAGTTAGTGAATTCTTTGAATTTCTCTGTAGCTTCCTTTCTGACTTTCTATATTTTCTAAATACAGATTTAGCTGCTGTATTTCTTATATGTATCTCATGCTTTTCTCTTAGGGGTTTCTTTTGAATTTCCTATGTTATCATCTGAAGTAACTTTTCATAAATAGTACATAAGAGATAAACATTTTGAATCCTGGAGTACCCAAAAATACATTCCACATTTGTTCTGTCACCTTTTTTCCCCTCATAGTGTTGGAAGAATTATTCCATTTCTTCTCATGTTTGATTTTGTTAAAGAAAGGCCAGATTATATTATAATCTATATTACTTTGTAGATAACGTTAGTTTCTATCCCCTTCTCTGGAAGTGTTTGGACCTTTCTGTTCCTACTATTCTGAAAATTTACCAGGATATGTCCAAATAGTTCTTTTTATCTGGAAGATTGTGTCTACGGAAATTTTATCTATTTTTTAATTTTTCTCTTTTTTGACTTCGCTGTATTCTAGACATCTGTATGTTCAGACAATGTTTGGCATTCTGAGTATTTCTTTAGATATTCTTTTACCTTTATCTTGTGAATCACCAAACTGGTGATTTTAGTTTTATTATTCACTTTAGCCACATAGTTTGTTTTCAGAATTTATCTTTTAAATGTTCTAATTTTTGCTTTTTAAAAAAAATCTTAATTTTTGCTTTTCTTTTTAAAGCTTTGTTTTACAGTCATTGATTCATCTGATAATATATGTTAAAATTTTTTTAAAGGTTTTTTTTCCCATTTATTGAATTACCTGTTACCCATGGTCATCATAT